TATACGCGGTCCTTCCATGACTGTACTACGAAGTGCAAAGAATATTGAACGGGCTGGCATAATATAGAAGAGCCAAAATTATATAGTGTTGATGTAATTTTTCAGAATATCTCGGGAGATAATTGCAAATGTTTGTATCCTTAAGTTTGTGTTTGAAAATGATGGCATTAGAGAGAAGTCCCAGTGCACATTTGTAGCAGAAAATATAACTGAAACTTGCTTAATATAACCCGAAGAGTAAGATGACATTGAACTTAGTGTATGAAAAGAAGATCGCTGATTGAATAAGAATGAACTTTTGGAAAATTCTGCTTCGTCAATTCCTTACAATACAAGTAGTTAATTCGGATGAAGATGGAACAACTCCTTACACAACTCAATCATTGACCCAGTGGGATCCGTACATTGTAAAATGTGCAGCCTTCGCGCTATATGGCGTCTGAGAAGTACAAATAATGTCTAAAGCATTTTTTCTGTGTGATATATAATATATAATATATAATATATAATATATAATATATAATATATAATATATAATATATAATATATAATATATAATATATAATATATAATATATAATATATAATATATAATATATAATATATAATATATAATATATAATATATAACATATAATATATAAAAAAATTGTCGATAGGAATAATAGTCCATATGCACTAATTCAAATAAATGCCAGTCTTTAATAAAGTTGCGCAAATTGGATACTTTTATGACCTGTGGTTAAGAAATAAAGAGATTGATACTTTGCATTAATGCGTTTAAGAAGACAACCATACTATAACCGCTAAGTATGCCAAGAGATCTCAGTTTTTTGCAATTTTTTTTTTTCTTCAATGAGAAAAATTTCATCCCAAAGGCAGGAGACGGTACCGCAAATCCCATGGGCAACACATCCGGCCGCGCAAACCAATCAAAAGCCAATGAGAAAAATTACTTCATGTGATTGCAAAATAGCTCGCACAAATAGGGAAAACCCATCTGTATTCAAGCGCACCCGTTGTTTTGGTTAACCTTTCAATAGGTATACATGAAATTGTAAGAACTTTATTTTATTGACGTTTGAAAACCGAGAAACATGAGAGCGAATATGACCAAAGGGAGAGGGGTGTTAGTTGAGTGGGATTGAGCGGGCATGTGAAGAAGTGGTTGGTGTCGTGCGAGGCGTCTCCACATGCCGGACACTCATCCAGATTCGACCCCAATATCTCCAATGAAACGTCTGCAATATACAGTGTCTGGCCCATTTACAGTCTGGATATTGCAGGCGTGTCAACAGCTACCTGTCTAGACTCGACCCCAAAGTTGCAGTGGAGTACCAAGACAGAGCTATAGTTACAGAATAAACTTGTCGCAAAGGCGGTCGGTAGAAACGTTATAGAAGAGCACCACTGGACCCTGTTGCACGAACGACTTAACACTTATCACTATACAATTTTTTGATGTATTTTTTTTTAAGTAAAGTACGTATCTATCAACTTATCAAAAAATTAGAAACGAGCAAATTGTTCATTTGATAAGCGTTGGACCGACAAATGGAAAGCGAAGGCTTAGCAAACCCACGTGGGTTTTGATAAGCATTTTCAGTTTATCTATGTTTAATATTATGCCATCAATGCGCCCTTTGACTTGTGGAAATGCACCAAAGGTGAAAAATTGTATGGCTATATTATGCGTAAATTCCGGCCAACGAATAGTTTCATCTATCATTCGATGGATTACTCCACACACGGTGCACCACTTGGATTTGTCGACCCCATGCCATGATGTTGGCTACCCTTACCTAACCAGTGCAGTCGTTAATAATTGTGGGGCCTTAAGCAATTATCACGCTCATTGTTATATTGATGGTACGCTCCAATTAATTTTTATTTTAATTTGGCTACACCATTATTGATTGTTTGTAGTTGATTTGTTCGTTTGTAACACGCTTTGTTAGCGGATTTTCCTCCTCTAATAATTGAAAGTTCAAATCGAAGCATTTTACATGTTAAAGCTCTGATTGATTTATTCATTTTTAGCAAAACAGTGCTAAATTTAGCAGAATAAAAGATAAGTGATAAGTAAAAATATTTAGGGCAGCAAAATGGTAATAAATTTTGATAATTTGCATAACATATCACTAAGATTTTTCCTCTTAGCATTTCATATTTTAGCGAAACACTTGCTAACGACTGACTGATATTTTACTCATCAATACTCAGTTGAACGACCTTCACTTATCGAGTTGGTGAAACACAGCTTTGCGCAACTTCAATAATTTGCCAATATGATAATGACACGTCATTGGTGCAATAGGGCCCTGTAAGCGGTTTTCTGCATTTCATTAACAATATACTATTGTCTTACAATTCTACAGCAACAAACATAATAAATAAATAGATAAAATTATAGGTCGTGACATAAATACCTCTTGGCTGCTGACAAAGTGATATTGGCTAAGATTCGGAGCAACAAATTGTGGACAGCAAAAGTTCTGGTGGTGAAAAATGTTGTCTTGCATTAATAATGGATGTAAAAAATGTTTTGAAACAAAATCCCGGCAGAACCCTTTTTTGTCTAACTGACACTGAATGGGATCATTATTATATAAGTGATTTGGGGGGTATTTACTTCGGTCCCCCAAAGTTGAACTCACCGATGGATTAGTCCGAACATCTGCTGAGCTTTCTAAAATATAAAAGGGTTTTGGCACTAAAACTCGTATGCTTTCAAAACGCTTACCTATATTGCTTCGTATAGTTTGAGAAAGCTGTGATAGGGCATCACAGCCTGTTTTGGATAAAATAGAGGACGTCTTATCCTTTGGCAATTGCGATTTCAGTGATTTGCTGTCATCAAGCATACTGTCGCATTTTCCACTTTGGTTGAGTACTGATCTTAGTGGAATTGTACTATTGTTTGACCCCCCAGTATTATAAGCGCTGGAGGAGTCACGTTCTTCATTTTGCGAAACGTCCACAATATTACTTCCGCCACTATTTCCGCTGCCACCGCTACTACTTGATCCGTTTGTGATAGTAGTTAAGGTGCTTCGCACAGTATTGGATTTCTTGCGTATTTCCATTTCGTTGGTATCGTTGTGGAATTGCTTACGGTTACCTGCGCTGGTGCCACGAGCCGACGCAGAAATGGCATTCAGTTGTGAAATATTCGTGGGGTTAACACATACATCTAGCCATTTCGCAACATTCATCTTTTGCAACTGAAGCTGCGGCGAGTCGGTAGTGGTAGAGGAACAGGATCCGAATGCCGTTACATATGTTGAACTTTCATATGGAGAGCAATAAAATGGCTCTGATTCTGAATCTTCTGGTATAGTTTCGTATATATGTTCTGTGTCGTAATTAATATGCTGCTCACTAGGGCCGTTTTTTACAGAGTCAAAGGGCGACAGAAGTGTCCGTGATGATTGTTCTGCTTTATGCGAGCGCAAGTTTTTTTTCGCGATATTCTTATGAGTCGTTCTGTTTTGCTTTTGTGGTTGCTGGTTTTGTAACTGATTCAAAGCTTTATCGTTTCTAGTAGCAGTTGTTGGCTGGGAAGAAACGAGTAATACCTTCTGTTCAGGACATTCAACTATATCTGCACATATTTGAACCGAACTGCTAGGAGAAGTAATTGTGTCGACATTAGCGACAGCTGCTGTGGTTGGTAGCTGATTTTCAATAGCTGGTATTTGCAGTTTTGTTGGCTTCCTTTCACTGTGCAATGCCAAAGCCTTTTCTAATTCGTTTGCAGGCTCATTCTGAAGAAGGCAATTTTCGTATGTTATATTACTTTCAACGTAAAATTCCTCCTCTTCGACATCGTCCTCCTCATCAACTTCTAGATCCGCCAGCAGAGGGTCGTTGAAATCATCTTCATCCTTAAAAATTTATTAAATAATTAAACTTTATTATTTTTTTTAAAACTCAACCAAAACTTAACTTTACACCAAATTAATAAGGTTTATGAATGAAAATAGGGACAAGTTTTGGCTACTCTTCCTTTTTTTAATTTCTTATTTTTTATTAAAATATATCTATCTAAAAAACATGTTAATCAGAATTTCAAACTGTAGAACATTTATAAAAATTCGACGAATTTTAACAAATGTTGATCAGAATTTTTAACTTTTAAATAAATTTTTTTAGTATGCAGTTTTGTAGGCCATTAAATGCTAGTATTATGAAGTGCAAGTGAAGTAGCCAGGACTTACCGTTGATTTTTGGTAATTTTTATTGTGTAAGTAATTCTCATTTTGTGTAAGGTATTTCTCATTTTAACAAAAAACTGTTGAACATACTGAGTATGGAAGAAAATGCGCGAACAAACTGCATACTCAGTATGATTCTAAGAAATGTCTGAAGTGTGCCCAACCTGCACTTAGCACATTCGGTTCATATTGCTGAGTCGGCGCGTTTGTTGTGACCATCCTGTGTGGCATTCTTACCAGTGCACTTGATTCCACATGCGGAACACTCGTCACGGCTAGCACTATCGTTTAGCGTACGGCGGCGCATTAGGTACACTTGATGCTTGCTATTGCAAGAGCAAGATCAGGTTACCAAGCATACATATGTGGGTTAGCGCACATGTACCATATGTACATAAAAAATATATAATAAAAATATAAAATATAAATGCAAAATAGTGAGTAAGCATTTCTGTTAGAAGTAGTGGCCAATGTAGTGATTGGTCACTAATAGAAATAAAAATTATATTGTAAGCATATAAAAGTAGGCGTTGAGCCGAAATAAAATCATTCTTGTCATAAGATTCAATTCAAGAGTTTTACTTCAAAGATCGTCATCACAAATGCATGCATACAAGCGGCTGGAGAGCTGAGTAAATACTTAAACTCAGGTTTAAACACTTTTAGTTTACCAACTCATTACATGGCGATCCTCCTTTACGAACATAGTGATAAAGGACCACATCACAAACTGTCTTAATAACTTTAGAAACAAATCCAAATGGAACAGGAAGAATATACACCTGAAGTATCCACAGAGACACCCGGTTTACATACGTGAATCGAAGGCAGTTGGACCAACACCGATAACTTTAGCGCAGTGCCGACAAAGAACAAAAATATAGTCAAAATCTTCAGAACTTCAGGCAGACGGTTCAAAATAAACCCAAAAAACGTCACGGAAGAAAAAAAGCGCCACGAGAAAGTATTCTGAGCTGCAGAGAATAATATCAGCCAGGGTCAGCAAAAGCGAGACTTTATCGCAGAACTGAAACAACTGCGTCGAGATGGGTGGAACCCAAACAAAGGAAGAGGTGATCAATAACAACAACGCAGCAGCAGGGGCAGCAGTATCAATCGAAAATAAAAAAAATTTAGTTTACATCAATTTTGTAATATTAGTAATTTTATTATTATGCAAGATAAATTCACATTATAAGAAATATTAAAAAAACAGGCATACCGTAATGTAAATGCGGCTTAATATATTTTAATATATAGTAGAATGAAATAGATGGAATTTAACGTATTAGAAGAATTATTAAATAAATACACACATATACACAAGCATATGTAGACAAAACTCGAGAATTGATAGCCAATAGCTATAAGAATATTGAGCAGACTGCGCACTCCACAGACTTGCCATTGCTAAACAATAAATTTAAAGAACTAAGAGCAAAAATTTAAAAAATATTTAGTTGTAAAAGATAAAACAACAAAAGTAAAACCAGACACAATGGCGACTTTATACCCTGTTTCCACGTAAAACATTAGTAATTCGTTTGGCAGCTCTAGTTCTTGTTGTTGTTGTTGTTGTTGTAGCGGCTACAACAACCCCGCCCAGATCGGTTGGTATCTCAGTCGTTGTCGTCAAGTTCCACTAACCGCAACCCTAGGAAGCGTGCAGCTTCTGTGGGATCTGTCCACAGGGACAAGGCCGTTAGGGTCGTCGGGTTCTCCGGGCATGCGAAGAGATGGTTTGAGTCATGTGGGGTCTCTCCGCATGCCGGACATTCGTTCGGCACATCCTCATTCAGCCTACTCAAGTAAGAGTTTAACCTGCTGCAGTAGCCGGAGCGAAGTTGGGCGAGTGTAGTGCGTGTCTCCCGAGGCAGATGAAGCTCTGTCTCGTCAATGTCCGGGGGTGGTATGCCTAGAACGGCATTCACAGGTCTAGAGTCTACCTAACTCGAGACTGAGTCCCTGTGAATGCCGTTCAGGGCCTGTCTGTACGCTGTCGGGTCCAGAGGTTGCTTAATGAACCTCTGGACTTCGTCCGTCAGTTCATATAGATGCCTCCTGACGTGCCTAGGCGAGGGCTCTTCTGCAAGCAGCTGTCTGTTTGGGTGGCCACTTCTGTGGCTCCCGATCAGGAATTGCTTGCAGAGCATTATGTTGTGCTCCTTAACTGGGAGCATTTGCGCCTCGCCGTGCAAGTGGTGTTCTGGCGACATCAGGAGGCATCCCGTCGCTGTCCTAAGTGCCGTATTTTGTACCGTCTGTAGCTTCGTCCACTGCGTCCTACTAGTCCCTGGCGACCACGCTGGCGCTGCGTAGTTCAAAACCGGCCGGCCTATTGCCTTGTATGTTGCCAGCAACGTTTCTTTGTCTTTGCCCCAAGTACTGCCGGCTAGCGACTTGAGGACCTTGTTGCGGCTCTGTACTTTATTGACAATAGCGGCTGAGTGCGCAGAGAAGGAGAGCAGGCTGTCGAATGTTACTCCGAGTATTTTGGGGTTATTCACCGTCGGAATTGGTGTGTCATCGACGTGAATCCCCAGCGGTAGCCTGACCTCCTTCGTCCAGGTTGTGAACAGGGTCGCGGAGGATTTCGTAGGGGAGAGGGCTAGACACTTTGCAGTGAAGAAGCGAGAAAGTTCGGAGAGATAGCCGTTTACTTTCAAACACAGGTCATGAATTCCATTCCCAGTCGCCATGATCGAGCAGTCGTCGGCATAGGAGACAATCGAGACTCCCTCTGGTGGTTGAGGGAGCTTTGAAATATAAAAGTTAAACAGTAGCGGGGAAAGGACACCACCCTGAGGAACCCCCTGTTTTATTTTTCGCTGCTTACTCGTTTTGTCTCTAAATGTTACCGACGAATGTCGACCACTGAGATAATTTGCCGACCACCGTTTGAGCCTCTGTGGGAGAGAGGAGGCCTCTATATCTTCTAGCAGCGTGGAATGGCAGACGGTGTCAAACGCCTTTGACAAGTCCAACGCTACTAGAATCGTTCTCTCACAGGGACGGTTGAGGTTAAGGCCACGAGTTATCTGAGTGTTTATGGCGTTAAGTGCTGTTGTTGTACTGTGCACTTTACGGAAACCATGCTGATGCTTCGCTGGGGTCAGGTGGTTTGTGAAGTACGGGAGTAGCAAGGCCTCGAGTGTCTTCGCTACCGGGGAAAGGAGTGTAATCGGACGATACGAATCTCCTTTGTTGGCGGGTTTCCCCGGTTTGAGCAATGGGACCACTCTCCCCACCTTCCATGTGTCTGGGATGATGAGAGTGGCCATTGACAGGTTGAGGACCTCCGTTAGGTACGCTACCCCCGCAGGACCCAAATTTTTCAGCATCAGCATGCATATTCCGTCGGGACCCATGGCTTTGGAGGCTTTCGCCTTTTCGATGGCCACCTGAACTTCACCGCAAGTGAAAGCAAGGGGGGCACAATTTGTTGGCAGTTTGTGCAGCCTTCTGGTCACTCGACGCTTGGCTTTGTCTACCGGAGGATGCAGTATGAATTGCCGGCTAAAATAGCTCGCGCATCGCTCCGGGTCCGACGAAGCATGGTCGCCGAAGGAAATTTCGACTCTGTCGTCGTGCTTCGTCGGATTAGACAATGACCTCACGGTTGACCAAAGCTTGCTCACACCAGAGGTGAAATTACAAGTCTTCAGGTGCTCCTCCCACTTCTTCCGCTTATGTACGTTCACAAGTTGCCGAATCTCCGCGTTGAGATCCCTGATACGGGGATCTCCGGAATCGGCCTGACGAAGGCTATCACGCTCATCAGCTAGAACAGCCGCTTCGGCAGGGAAGTATGGACGTGGGTCCGATATACATCCTGCCGGTATGAAGCGAGCTGCAGCAGCAGTGATAGCCCTGCGGAACTTACGTTCACCGAGATGGACGTCGGTTGGTGTGGGGAGCGCTGCGAAGGTGTTTTCAGTAAACTCCGCGTAACCTTTCCAATCAGCTTTGGAAAAGTTGATATAGGTCCGGTGTTTGGCGGAGGCAAAGTCGGTTGGTCTATCAATCGAGATGACTATGGGTAGATGGTCTGATGCTAGAGTGGCGACCTATTCGCCACGTTATGCTGTTTATCAGACCAGCGCTGACTATTGTGATGTCTGGCGAGCTACTGCAGTTACCCATAATCCTGGTGGGTGCGTCGTCGTTCATTGTGCAGAATGTCGAATCGTCTATCTGCTCAGCCAAGTCTGTTCCCCTACGATCGTTTGACAGGCTTGAGTGCCAAAGATCGTGGTGCGCATTAAAGTCACCTACTACCATACGGTTTTCACCTCTGAGGAGCGCACCTATATCAGGGTGATATCCTGCCGGGCAGCAGGTGACAGGGGGTATGTAAATGTTAAATATTTCGAGCTCGACATCGCCTGACCGGATAGCGATGCCCTGACATTCTAGGGTGGTATCCCTGCGGTCGATGTCTGCTTCGATAAGACGATACTGCACGGTGTGGTGCGTGATGAACGCTAAGCCACCACCATTATCTCGCTCGCGATCTCGACGGTGCACATTGTACCCGGCGTAATTCAACAAAGTTGAATTGCTGTGCAGCTTCGTCTCTTGGACCGCAGCTATTAATATACCATGCCGACACATGAAGACGGTTATCTCCTCAATCTTGCTCTGTAGCCCGTTACAGTTGAATTGGAGGA